ACCAAATATAAATAAATATGAAATATTTATTTCTTATAATCTATCTAATTCTAACAGAGATATCTTAATTCAAATCTTCAATCAGATGTCTCCAGGAATAAAAACTGTCAATTCGGATTCGCTTTACCTGCTTGGTACTCCGTTGTTTTCGATAGTATTAAACCTGTTTTAAAAACAAAATTTGATCAATTTTTAAATCATGTTGATAAACTATATATTTTAAACCCCCATATTGCCTTTACCATTTTAAAATATTGTCTCCTTGTATCTAAATTTACGTACTTGTTACGCTCAAGTCCAGTCTGCAAATGTTCGGATATTTTAAAAGATATTGATAGTAATCTAAAAACTGCTTTAGAAAACATTCTAAATTTGAGATTAAATACAACAGCCTGGAATCAAGCCACTTTACCTATCAAATTTGGTGGAATTGGTGTAAGAAATATTTCTAGCGTCGCATTGCCTGCTTTCCTTGCTCGCATGCATAGTGTCAATGACCTTTGTAACACAATTTTAAATAATAAAGTAGACCTGTGCTTTGCTGCGGAGGCAAAGCAAACATGGCTAACGCTCTGTCCCGGCGAAAATGTCCCACTGGAAGTTAACCAACGAAAACAGTGAGATATTCCGTTGGTACGGAGTGTCCAGAAAAATTTATTTCAAAATTTCCATATTTAACAAGATCAGGCTCGCCTTTTAGCTGTTTCGACTAAGGAATCTAGCCATTGGTTACATGCTCTACCGTCAAGTAATCTCGGCACATTGCTTGATGGGGATAGCTTGCGCATCGCCGTAAGGAATCCGGCTAGGAGTGGCAATTTGTCAGCCTCACCAGAGCCCCTGTGGTAGCAGCGTCGATGAGTTTGCGCTCCACGGACTTTCATGCAAGAAAAGTGCAGGTAGGTTTTCCTGTCACGGTTCTTTGAACGAAATCATCCGAAGGGCTCTTGTCTCTATAAATATCCCCTCGGATTTAGAGCCTTGCGGGATATTTACAGACGATGGCAAGAGACCCGACGTTATGAATTTGGTCCCTTCGGAGAGAGGTAAAGCCCTAGTGTGGGATGCTACTTGTGTTGACACTTTGGCAGTCTCTCATCTCAAGGGTACCTCTTTTAGAGCCGGGGCGGCATCAGAGGCAGCCGAATTTAGTAAATGGCACAAATATGAGTCTTTGAGAAATGACTACATATTTGTGCCATTTGCTGTAGAGACTACCGGTCCGTGGGGTCCACGTGCAATGAAGTTTCTAAAGGAACTGTATCGACGACTGGTCATCGCTGCTAGTGATCAGAGGGCTGGATCTTTTTTCGCTCAAAGGCTAAGTATAGCTATTCAGCGAGGAAACGCAGCCAGCGTTCTTGGCACTATACCACGGGGAGCAGGTCTTTTTGACGATTTAAATTTTTAGTTTTAGATTTATATTATAGCTTCTTCTTTTATATTGTATATAATTAGTTTTAATGGTAAATATTATAATTTTAATTATTATTCTAGCTAAGTTCTCACATATTATAAAATATTACATTAAAATAATCACGGTTATTATTATTATTAAACGTGTAATGGCGGTGTAGGAATGTACAAAATAATGTGCAAATTTCATATGTTTTAGGAAATACAATAAAACTTATCACCGTGACAAGATTATCTGCTACAATATATATTCGTTTTTTAATCATTTTTACTGTCTTTCTGCCGTAATGTCCCGGGCTAAAATCATCTTTGATGGATATTCTTCTATGGTATTTGATACTAACCCAATTTAAAATCTTCCTTGGTCAGGTTTGGCCATTTTAATATGCGCGTCGGTAGAATACGGTGAAGCATTTACGCATTCTATATCCTATTTACTTTGTTTGACATGATCCGCAGGTGAATCTTTCAAGCACAAATGTATAAATAACAGCAACAAATTAATTTTTTCCCATTTTCACCTTCTTAATTTTTTGGGAGGCCTAGTACATGTCCGTCCAGCAGTTTACTTTTTTAGACCAGTAACGAAGAGCCAGAATTACTAAAGTCGGGTTTGACAAAGTATCTGTGAACTTACTTGTTTCAGGTTTGTTACTAAACATCCACAAATTGTAGTAGCCATGTAAAATCAAGTAAACTGTTCATCGTATTCATTACAGCCCTTCATAAGTTCATTGCTGAACATAGGCCTCCCCCAAGGAATGCTACAGAGCACAAAACACTGTTCTGAACAACCTATATCTATTAACTTCCAGCATGTATTACTAAATAGTTCATCACCCTTCCTAGTTGAGCGTCTTCCTAAGCTTCGCTTTAAAAAGGTTGAAAATGAGGAAAACTTTCCCGAATGGCAGCTTCGTCCCGTATAAAAAATCTTTTACTCCATCAGTTGTTGGTACTCCAATCTATATGGTCACTCAATTTTAGCAATTCGCAGATATTACACAAAGCATATTTTACTCTTCGATCTTACGAGTATGTACAATTTGTTAATCAGTGCCCAAAATTGGTTATCAGGGCTTTCTGCCATGGAACTATCAATAGCGGTCTGGAGTGTGTATCCTAGTGGCGAATTGGTACCAATCGGAAAAACATGTTGTTATTATAGTTACAATATAAATTTAAGATACATAAAATAACATGTAACATCTCATATAAATAAATATGTTTTTTTTATTCAGTGTATCTTAATCTAAATCTCAACACAAATCTTTACAAAAAATAAAATATAGAACTCTTTACTGCAATCTTATTATGAGTACCCAGAGATCCCCCTGAATGGTTTAAAAACTCAACTGGACCCAGGCAGGTGGCTCTTTTGTCAAGATTCAGAAATTAGCTGGTTCTGATCACCAGTCGTATATAAAACATTATTTATATTATATTAAGTTACAATTTTACCTCTCTCCTTCATAATTCAGCATGTTGTGAAACTCTGTTATAAGCTAAGTGTTTTAATACATACTTTTAAGTTAGTTTATTAAAAAATGATGTTGAGCTTCCTAATAAAAAAATCCCATTGGACTAGGAAAGTGGTTCAGTGCTTGCGCATACACTCGTGAACTGAATGCTGACCTGCCTTGCGCAGATGATTATTTTTTGAGACAGCCCACCGTGATTAAATTTGGGTTAGCGGGATATTATAACTTGCCGGAGGGTATTTATGTGGTCTATGGTTCTAATGCTTATTCAAAAACAGGGTTGTTATGGACAGCAAAATTTTTAAAGTATGAGAGCGAGACTATTCGCTATAACTCTCACAAAACCACACGTTTTTTTTCACGTACACCACATGCAATGTTATTTTATTTAATAAAAAACGAGTACCTATTGACAATACTCATATGTACTAATGAGCGATGCTGAACTTTGCGCTGACGGTTACGTTACTTGAGTGCAACGTTTGAGTGATTAACGAGCTCAGAAAATGAATACGTAGGAAAACACGCTCTTTTTGCCTTTAATTTCAGACTAACGCATACTTACGCCGTCTACTTACGTAAAGCTATTACAGAAATGAGTAAGACGGGTACTTTAGCACACAAGTTACTATACCACACGCATTAAATAGAAAATGTTCTTACAACAATATATTAAAATTTGTTATAACTTTACATCTTGATTAAAATACTTAGTAAGTTACTCATAGTAGAGCCACGCTGTAACTATATTATTGTTGTAACACATTTTCCTGGCAAAAATTCATCAAATCAGTTGATCCCCAACAAGTCCGACAAGCAGGAAGTAAAGCGTGCTGCCCTTATGCTTTTACATTTAATGTAAATGTTTTGAATTTTTCAAACATGCAGGTTTCCTAAGGATATTTACTTTCATGATCGAGAAAATTTCTGTTTATAAGACAGAAATATCAAACGAACTTAATTCAATTAAAGAAGGAGACACGCGTTTTCACCTCTAAGAAGTAGAACGAAATCTCCGAAAACCTGTTACTATACTGGCTCAATAACCCTTCAAACTGGAATATGGGAGTGCAAGCACAGCTTTGAGAGCATAAATAATAAGATAATTGAGCATAAATGATACGTAATTTTAAAAGATTTCTACTTATTAAAAATATTAAAAAAATAACACAAGAACATGGCAATGGTAGATAAAGATTGTATAGTAAACAAATATTTGCTCTAGATTTCAGAGAGAAGACAGAGCTAATTTTTGTATAGTTGTAAACTCCTTCCGGATAAAATCTTGACGTTGAAGAGCTATCTCATATATAAGAAAAATTATCAAATGAACTACATTTTATACATCACAATAATAATATTTTAATAAATTTGATGAGTTATTTCTTAACGAGAAGTGAATTGCTGTGATCAACACTGAAGAGTTAAGTGATCCAGTATAATTAATAATAATAATGTTACGAGCTTGAGGTTCGTGACAATAAAAAATTGCCGATAAAATTACCTAAATTAACACTTTAATTACTTACAAAGCTATTCTAATACTCCGCTCCGAAGCTTCGCTTGTCTCGCCAAATCAACACTACTACGATCGCATCTTGCAGCGCCTATTTATTTAAATTAGGAAATAAATATCCAGAATGTTCAATTAAACACGCGCAAGGTACCGAGCGTTCGAGTTTCGACTAGGCGCTGTCGGTTGAGTGATTTGTGATGTCATTTTCTCAATGCTCCCCTCGCTCTCGTTCCTGACACTAGATGGCGCTAGTGTATCGTCCACTTGAGCGCGTAACAATAATAATAAATTGTTTCAGGTTTATTATTCATATATGTATTTTATATTTATTTTATGTTATTGATATTTATGTATATTTATCTTTTCATTTTTATTTATAATTATGTATTTATAGAACCCAACCTGATGAGAAAACTATAGTGATATCCCCCAATAATAATAATAATAAGTCAGCGCCCTGCCAAGAGGTGTGAGCGCCGTGCCTAGGCAAAATTGTGGGTGCAAAGGTCCGTTTGTGCATATGACCCAACCACGAAATGGTGCTGGGCTTGGGCCTCTCCCGTTATTTGGCACCCATATAATGGGTGATGGCACAGAGAGAAACGCGCATAGGGCCGCTGCCTGGGGGTCGCCGAGGCGCGTCTGGAGCTGGCGCTGGACGCGGCAGCATGCGGGCTGCCAGCCGAGCGCGAGGAGCTGCACGATCACCTAGCAGCCCTTCGCATCCATCATCCCCACCAGAAGGCTTGGTGTCGGCTGGGTCTTCTCGGACTCAGCAAGCGGCACTTGCCACTGGTGGAACACGTCGCATGCGTCGGACAAAAGCTATGAACGAAAACGCATTGCGGGCGTACTATAGGGCGAAAGGGAAAGAAACTGTGGGAATAGCGTATAGGGTTCGGATGTATTGCTTTTTTGCAGAGCTGGAGCTCTCTATTCCCGTCACGGAAAAAAACCTGGCAGACCGAGTTCGGTACATCATGCGCTCGAAAATATTTGATGATGCCGAACTCAAACGACTACGACGTGAGGATATTCCATCATCGAATGAATCGGCTACGGCTGGGGATGTAGCTCCACATGCGACAGACCAGCATCCACACGTGGAAGCTGCCATGGATCTTCCAGTTGTGGTTGATTCGAACGACGATGAAATAGTCTTCCACGAACTAGAGCAAATGAGGACCATATTGAATGAGACGATTTTGGAAACGCGCGGCATCCCTCTCAAAAATCGACCGCGACTTCCCCGCATACCCCTAAGCAAGCGAAATCGGGCTGTCATGAGGGCTCTTAACCCAATACTGGTGACCTATTTGGAAGCCAGCCGGGACCTTTGCGAGACGGACTCAATTATTTTTGACGCCGCATTGGCAGTTTGCCGTATTATTGGCGCCTAACTTCCCACGGCTGGACGCGCTACTAGACAAAGTAGCGCCATCCAGGCCTGGAGAAAAAGAATCGAGGAGTTCAGCAAGGGCCTTTATTGGCAGACTGACAAGCTACAGGTCGGGTAATAATAGACCGAGGATTGTGCGCACCTTTAGGATGGCGTTTGCTAAGAAAAATAGCAGTTTGTCCCAGCCGGATATCACGCAGAAACTAACGGAGCGCATAGATTACCTGAAGAAAAGATGGAGAATTCGACGATTTACCGAGAGGTCAAGGCGGTTCACCCAGAATCGTCTTCGTCGTTTCAACGTCAAAACTTTATCCGGAAGGAGTTTAATGCATACCAAAATATTACTCAATAATATTTTTTAACTTCTTTCTTGACAAATTACAAACTATGTCTACCATTGCCATATTATTGTGTTATTTTTTATATTTTTTTTAATAAGTTAAAATTACTATACTTCAAAATACCGAAATCATTAGACATATTGCATAGAATAAGAAGCTGGAGATTAGTCAGCAAGCTATGGAAAGGCTTATAAATGAGGATATCCGCTGTAAAAACATAGTGACTGACAACTCAACAAACAAGTATGCTGAAGTGGCAATGGACCGACCATATAGTTTGAAAAAACCTAAAACCGTTGAGGAAGAAAGGTTCTCGAGTGACAGCAAGTACCGATAGGTAAAGTGAGGAATGCAGAAAGTCGATAGATGCAGGTAGCTCAGGATGGTGCTCTTTAGCATTCCTTGAAGAAGGCCTGTGTTGAGCAGTGGACGCAAAAATATTGAAAAATAAACATTTTAGTGAAATAATTATATGAATATAAATATTAAACCAACTGTTTAAACTAACTAACTACACGTCTGATTTCTTCAAGAGTTCGAGGGGAAGATACGGATATAGCCACAATCCTTCTTATAATGTTTCTGAAAAATAAATTAAATACTGTATAACTTAGCAAGAGGAATCAGGGTAATACGGGATGATCTCATCAATTTTTCATTGATATAATCTATCCAAGTTTCAAGAGTCTTTCTCTCTCTCTCCCCTAATGCAACAAAAATATACCGTTAAAAATGTATTCTTCAAATTTCTTGTAGTTTAGATATCTTCTTATATAATTTTTTGTGTTAATATTATAATATTATAGTGTGAGAAAAACGTGCTACAAAAGCCAGGCAGATGTCATTCTGCGTGTTCCAACGACGCTTTTTCTTATTTAAAATCTTTAAATTCGTAATAAAAAACATGCTATAAGTGAATAAAGCAATTAAAACTAAACCATATCTTAAATTAAAGCAAGCAATACACATTTACAAAATTTTATTGAAATCAGTTCAGTAGTTTAGGAGAGTTCATCGCGAACAAACAATGTGACCAGTAATTTTTATTTATAAAAATAGTCCGTAGCGCAACAACCACTTAAAACATTTTTAATGAATAAGGGTGACAATAGAGCACACTGTCCACCTGATTGTAAATGGATGCTAAAGCTTATGGACGTCTACATCTGTCCTCGATTAAAAAACAAAATGCATATGAGCTGTCACCCCTGAAGATTAAGATGGAATGCCTCGTTTCCAGCAAAAAGAGTTTTCTACACTTACCATAAGAATCACAACAGAGTTGAGCTATTATTTTACGTTGGTACCCTGTTTAAGCATGGTCCTTCCATGGAAGAGTGAAATTCATGAAATTCGTGCTACAACTATCATAAATGAGTAGCTATCCGCAACATGGCTCTTTTGAGTGATATGAAATGTTTTCTGTTAGTCCAAATAGACGGTGCTGAAATTTTTTTATTAATTTTTTTTATAAAAATAACCAAGATTAAGACGACTTATAATTAATGAATTTTCCGCACATAGCCGTACAATACTATTATAACTCAAGTGATGAGTGCTTTCCTTAGAATTGAGAATTACTTAGAATACCTGTAATTTGACCATTTACGAATTAAGCCTTTATCGTATTAATCTGATGTAGTTATTTTTTTTTTCGTTTTCATTATTAAGTCATTTTTCGTCGTAAAATTGCACACCGAAATCCAAACATAAGTATGTCTTAGTAGTAATAAAAAGAAACACGGTTTTACAAAATAAAATATATTAATAAAGGTTATAAATAAGTAATGTTTATAGAGATCATTAAAGAACAACTGTTCGTACGTAGGTGTTTGGTATAAGACCAAATAAATCAAAAATTATAATTGAGCAGATATTTTTCATTAAGAACTTTTATTTCTAGTCCAGGAGGCATCGGCGCATGAGTATCAAAAACTATTTTATGCGATTCTCTTCAAATTGTCTTACTTATGGTACAAATATATTGTTGCGTGAATAAGTCAACGTCATACACTAGCGCCATCTAGTGTCAGGAACGAGAGCGAGGGGAGCTTTGCAGAAAATGACATCACAAATCTTTCAACCGACAGCGCCTAGTCGAAATTCGAACGCTCGGTATCTTGCGCGTGTTTACTTGAACATTCTGGATATTTCTTTGCTAATTTATGTAAATAGGCGCTGCAAGATGCGATCGAGGCAGTGTTGATTTGGCGAGACAAGCGATGCTTCGGAGCGGAATAAAGTGAATTAGTGTGTTTAATTATTAGTGTTTTAAGTTTTAATTCGTGTAAAGTAAATTAAAGTGTTAATTTAGGTAATTCTATCGGAAATTTTTATTGTCAGGAACCTCAAGCTCGTAACAATTGGTGTCAGAAGTGTGATAAAATCATGCCAATTTTACTTAACTCTTAGGCTCTGACAGCGCGCGACATGTTATACTCCCGTTCGCTCGGGACCTTAATGGCGGGAAAATTTGTAAGTTAGAAAATTTTTTGCTATATTGCAAATTTTGCTATATTTTCACTTTGAGACAATATTTATGGATAAAACTTACAGGATTTCTGTTAAATGTATAAACTATCGAATAAAATTATTTTTGGTTGCTAGAAATTGTAATAAAATACATAAATTACCCTGTATAGCATAGTAGTAGCATATACTTCAATTTTAGTGACAAAATTACTACTAATTTGAATTCTACACTTTTGTTTTTGGAGAAATTTATATGAAAATGTTTGAAAATATGTATATTTTTATGTTTTATATGTTTCCATTCGTTACTCATACCAAAATATTAATATATTAAAAAAATTAAAAAAAAAAGACAATAATAATATTTTATCTGTGTGACATTTAGAACAATATTTCAAAAATAATTATGTGTGAATTTGAAATAAATACAACGTCAAGTTATTTGAAATATGTAAGAAAACTATTTTTACACTAAAAATAAATGAGAATTTGAAAAATAACACATTTATGACCCAATCGCCAAAATGGGTCTTCCAGATTTTGAAGTACTTTTGGCAATTTACTTTTCACTTTTTATACCACAAATTATATATCTACGTGTTCACTATATTACAAGGAATATAAAAAAGTATAAAACTTTCGTTTTCAGTCCAGACACAAATATAAAATTCTATAAAAAAGACGGAGCACCTTCATCAAAACGACACGTGGAACGCCGAAAGTTCAGAATGATTTCTTTTTTTTTTTTCTAAGAAACATTGCCAGGTTATGGTTTAAAATAAAAAGAGCATATCTTTGTCTTTGATACTATTATCTATTGCATATTGTATTTGGTTTTGTTTCATAGGAAAAAATAGTTTTTTCATAAGGCAGTACTTCTGATCCGACCTGATCTAATTCGACCCGTACCACAGCGGACGTAAGGTAGGTATTGTATGATCTGATTAGATCGTTAGCCGAGTCAATGGGCTAAGAAGGAAACGGAGGGTGTCCGTACCCGAAGTCAACGCCAGCAGGAGACGGACCAGAGGAGATTTGGTGTGCAACGCCGCAGGCGTCGGAGGGCCAACGGCCAGCCACGGAGGCTGTGGGCACGGCAGTAGCTCCTACACCCGCAGCACCTGACTTAGGTGCTCTGATGGCGATGCTACAGGAGCAGCTGCAGCGCGGACGAGAGGAACAGGCCCGTCTGTTGAAAAAGCAGCAGGAAGAACAGGCTCGCCGAAAGGAGGAACAGGTCCGTCAGTCGAAAGAGCAGCTGCAGAGCGGACAGAGGGAACAGGCCCGCCGACTGGAAGAGCAGCTGAGGGACGGACAGGAGGAACAGGCCCGCCGGCAGGAGGAACAGGTCCGCCGACAGGAGGAACAGGTCCGTCGTTTAGAAGATCAACTTCAACGCGATAAGGAAGAGCAGATGCTCCTCATGAAGGACCTTCACGCTATCTTCGGAAAAGAGATACGGGAGGTGAAGGATAAGGTTGCTCAACATGACAACCGCCTGTTGGAGGCCGAAACCCGAATCGACCAAGTAAACAATCGAGTTGACAACGTAATAGCTGACGTGAAGAAAACGCTGGACGACCTCAAACTTGGGGTGGGTAGTAGCTACAACACCTTCGCTACGTGGATTCAAAGTGCCGCCGTTCGACGGGACCTCTTCCTGGTCGGCCTACAAAATCCAGTTCGAGGCCGTCATGGAGGCAAACGGCTGGAATAAAAGCCAAGCCATGACTGCACTCACCCTAGGCCTGCGCGACCAAGCCTTAACTGTGTTGGAAGCTCTCGGTAAGAAAGTGACCTACGAGCAGCTCCTTGAGGCCTTGGAGGCGTGATATGGCGACGCTCACCTGGAACACGTCTTTCGCGCGCAGCTTAAAGATCGCGTGCAGCGCAGCAACGAAAACCTGCAGCAGTGGGCCCTTGAGGTGGAGAAGATGGTTCGAAAAGCATACCAGTCTGTACCTCCGCTCATTGAAGGGAACCTGGTTCAGACGGCATCCGCGACCTTGAAGTCAGAGCTGCTGTGAGACTCGGGCACCACGACACGCTTAAGGGCGCCTTGGCCCATGCACTGGAGGTGGAAGCCGTGCGGCAGGATCATCGTTCCCATCGCATCAGGGAGGTTGCAGCAGCTACAGTACGCGACCGCAGCAAAGGATACAGCCCTAGGTGCTATGGCTGTGGG